ATCTTCGCCTTCCCTCCCCCGCCCCGAGCCTGCTCCTTTGTCCACCCGCTGTGAAGCGCTCGGGGATCGCCGGGGTGGGAGCGTTGTTCAGTAGCAGAAGCGCGGTCACGCCGGGGAGGGAGTAGCGAGGGGCCGGGGGGCCGGGGCCGGAGCCAGCCGGGGAGGAGAGGGCGCGCCGAGGATTGCCGATCGCTCCCGGCTCCCTGCATGGACCGCGGGGGACGCGCATCGAGTTGACCCTGCCGGAGCTGCTTCTGCTTCTACATGTGAGATCCGGTTGGTTTATTCCCTCCACCTCTCTCTCTCCAGCCTCCTTCCCGTATTCTCCACTTACTCCTGTATGCAAAATGGTGGACCCTGTGGGGTTTGTGGAGGCTTGGAAAGCACAGTTTGCAGACTCTGAGCCTCCTAAAATGGAGCTGAAATCTGTGGGAGACATTGAACAGGAGCTGGAGCTATGCAAAGCATCTATCCGGAGACTGGAGATGGAGGTCAACAAGGAGAGGTTCCGCATGATTTACCTGCAGACTCTTCTGGCAAAGGAGAAAAAAAGCTATGATAGACAGAGATGGGGTTTTAAACGTGTTTCTCAGTTGCCTGAAGGGGGTGCAGAGCAGCAGATCCAAGACCTGCATCATCACCAGTCTGCTGACCAAGACGAATATGAGAAAAGCAAGTCACACCACGGGGAGGAAAAGTTCAAACCCAGGATACCCTCTTTGCGGAAGCTGTCTACCCAGAGTGATGGGTCAGATCTGTCGCCTTTGGACAGTCCCCATCACGGAGAGGCAGAGCAGGACAGGTGTAAGTACTATGGTGAAGAGAAACTGAAGAGAGTTGTAGAAGATGTGGAGAATCGCTGTGATACAGATGGCTCCCCTTCAAAACACAGGTCGGCTTCCACTCGCCGGCTAGTGGGATCTGCTGAGAAGGAGGGATCGTTTGAACCTATTTCGAAGGAGAGAGGGAACAGCACCAGCGTGGCAGCCCTAAGGTCCAATTTTGAGAGAATTAAAAAGGTTAATTCACATTCTTCTGGAGATAACAAGGACATTGTTGAAAAGCCCTTCTATGTGAACATGGAGTATCATCATGAGAAGGGTCTAGTAAAGGTCAACGATAAAGATGTTTCCGATAAAATAAGCTCTCTTGGTAGCCAAGCCATGCAAATGGAACGCAAAAAGTCTTTGCACTCCCTCCCTTCTAACGTGGTACCCAGCTTCAGTGAGTTCCAGAGGCCTGCTTACAGGGGAAGGTCCTCAGAGAGCAGCTTTGGCTATGATGGAGAATATGAGGATGCTGAACTGAACCCTAGATTTCTCAAAGATAACCTGATTAATGCTAACGGCAGCAACCGCTCACCTTGGCAGCCCATGGACTTTCAACCCTATCAAAGTATCTATGTTGGTGGAATGATGGGGGAAGGAGAAGGGAAAGGACCTATTTTGCGAAATCAGGGCACAACTGACCAGGAAAAGCATCTCACCTGGCCAAGGAGGTCTTATTCCCCTAGGAGTTTTGAAGATATTGGAGGAGGATATACTCCTGATTGTAGCTCTAATGAGAACCTTACCTCCAGTGAGGAAGACTTCTCCTCAGGGCAGTCCAGCCATGTCTCCCCCAGCCCCACCACTTACCGCATGTATCGGGATAAAAGCCGTTCTCCTTCCCAGAACTCTCAGCAGTCCTTTGACAGTAGCAGTCCACCAACCCCCCAGTCTCAAAAACGGCACAGGCAGCAGCAGGTCATTGTGTCTGAGGCTACTATTGTGGGTGTACGAAAAACAGGACAGATCTGGCCGAGTGATGGAGACTTGCCTTCTGGGAGATGTCACCAGGACAGCTGCTTCCACGGGGATACAGGTGAGTACCAGCTTTTTGTTTAGTCTTTTAAATGTATGGAGCAGGAAATGGGATTGTGAAAGTGAAGGGGAGAGGTTTTCTGGTTGACCCCAAGTGAATTGCTCTAAGGGGGCAACTGTTTTATGTGAGAAGTCTGTGTTTATTTTGTAGCTGCGCTGTTTTAGGAAGGGCCTGCAGAAGTATACATCAGACTGCATTTTAGCAATACAGATTGGCTGCCCAGAAGGGCTGATTCAGGCCTCTCTGGAGAGGATCACTGGAGTCCCATGTTAATCAGTTTTTTTAAGTGTGAAGGTAAAAAGGGGCCAGAATAGTTCAGTATTCACCACCAGATCGTTTCCTCCCTTGTGGGAGTAGTTGAACTCTGCTTCAGAGGTGGTAGTGTGCCAACATGCTACAACCTGAGGGCTTTGCTGGAGCTTTACCAGTAATGATGCTTCTTCCACAATCTTGTTTTTTCCTGTCTGTATTAATTGGAGTGCTAGTTTCTCGTTCTGTTTCGTGTCATCCTTCAATTAGGGCTGATTGGAAGTGAAGATGGTGCAACCCTGTTCTCGAGGCTTTCTGCTATCACTAAGTGAAGGAAGAGCTTGGAATATCAGGGAGCCCCGAGGGACAGCTGTTAATTTAATTTCAGCAGTCAAAATTTTTGTTTGGGGAAGAATAGGCAGTGTTTGGACTCGTTCTTATGTAAGCCATTTAGGCATGTAGGCCCGCCTGTGGAATCACAGTGAATTTATAGTTGGTGGAAGAGGCACGTGGTGAAGTAAGTTAATTCAGATTTATTGAATGTATGTGGACATATGAATCTGTTTAGCAAGGCCAGGCACATAATGTGAATAATGTCTTATGCTAACACCAGTAGTCTTTTATGCAGTAAATGACAAACAATCAAATCCAGGAATGAAGGAAACAGTATGATTTTTGATAGACTTCTGTCATTCTAAATCTGTGAGTTATCATGTGGGTTTTCTTTGTCTCTTTGTCATTTTCATAAGGGGCTAAGGCGTTAGTTGTCGATGTGACAATTCCTGAAGTAGTGAATTGAGAGGCCAGTCAGAGATGTTACTTTCTCAGATTGTGTGAGTTCAGTGTATTAGTTCTCAGAAGAGTAACTTTGCTGGAAGGAAATACCTGGCTTTACTTTCCCTGCTGATTGTTTTTTTGCCAGCAGTACTTTTGGGAGCCACAATGGAGGGAGAACTCTTCCCTGCCCCCCTGCCACCCCTACATCCCATTGATGGGAAGGCTGCACGGTTGTACTGGATATTCACTGTACATCAGACCTCGGTACCTTGCCCTCACCGTGGCTTCTCCCTTATCAGATCGTATATACATACTTGTTTTCTATCTGGGGCTACTGCATTCTTGTACGGTTTTATGCATATGTTTATATCTTCTGGGTAGTACTTGTAATGCAGGGGAGAGGCTGAATCTTGTGCTGGTTTAAACTGAGCTGCAGCCATCTGTCTCTGCTCTTGTTTACTGATGCTCTTTAGATGACTGGGAAGCCCCCTGGCAGTTGCAGTTTTTGCGGAAGGAAACAAAGGGGAAAAAATAACAAAGGTTGATAAAGCTTGAGGATAAAATCAGCTTTCAAAAAGGCAAGAGGTAATTTTTATTTTAAATAATTCAGCTGGTATGCAGTGCTAATAACAAAAAGGCTGCTGAAGTCGAAACAGTTACAATTCCTGGTTGGGCTGGAAAGCTTTGTGTCTTGTTCCTAAGGATGACCACACAACTGCAGGCAAGGACAGAATGAACTGATCCACCTTCTGCTTTCCTCAGCATAGGGGGTAACATGGCAAGCTTAGCGGGAACCTTCACCAGATGGCTAATCATTACTGTCTTGCACATTAGCTGGTGGCAACTTTTTACTTAACCAAAAAGGTTTATGCCTTCAGGATTCTGATTAATTCCTCCTGAGCATCATTTTAGATGAATTTTCTTTCTTTCCCGTTTAGGAAGACTTTTGATCTGAAACCAATTGGCAGAACCTCTTTTTCATAAAACAAACAAAAGGCATGAGAGATCCCTGTGTGATTATCTGTCTGGCTACCATTCTGAACTATTGTGCTCTGATGCTCACTGTTCTCCATCACCATGTGAGATGAAAGCAGCTCACTGATCCAGACAGCTTTTCCTGCACCTGTGGCTGTCACTGGTTCTGCCAGGCTTCCCTGAAGTTTTGCTTGAACAGAGTGCAAGTTTGAATCACAGCAGGTTCTGGCCAGCCTTAATGTTAATTAGCATCAAGTGGGGTTTGTTGAATAGTGTTTGGCTTCTTTGTGCATTTAGATTTTTGTATGCTTGCTGGCTTTGCTCTTCATGACTCTGGGCATAATAATGCAGAATGTGGCGTGGACAGGTGCGCGGTGAGCTTTCTGTCTGGATCTGCCATCCCAGTGCATCTTGGGCTTGGCCAGTGGACACGTGCTGTTTTGTCCAAGTTCTTTCCTGAGTTCACAGTCGAGTGATAATTTCCTACTTTCATCTTACAAAAAAAGGACTAGAAGGAGGTCATCTAATGCTCAAGTGAATGGGATCCAAGCCAAAATTTGAATCTGGGTTCTTGGAGATGGGTTATCAAAAACCATAAATCAGACCAAGGCAGCAGAATGAGAGTTTTGGGGTTGTACATTCTATTAAATGTACTTAATGGGGCTGGTGCAAAGATATTTATGTTAGGAGTAATTATGTATCACTAATTTCCTATAGTGGGAATAGAAGAAAATAACATCTTAACTCTGTGTTGAGCTTGAATATTTTTACTATGAAAGTGGAGGAAGAAAAGTTGGTTGTTTGTTTTTTTGTTTTTTTTTTTTAAATTCTGTCTATTGTTAAACATTAGTTGCAGAGAGAAAGCCACCGGTTGTGCATTTCTGCTTATAATCAAGGGGAGAGTTGCATAGTGTCATTATGCAGTGACAAGGCCTCAGTTGGGCCAATTTTTTAACTAGATGGCCTCAACTGGGTCAGTTTTTTTAACTAATAACAGTTTATTAATTGAGGAGCACACTGGAGTTGTTGCTTGGCTTTATAGCTTGCTACATAAAATCAGTAGATGCTCTCTCATCGCTCTGTTTTGTGAAATGATTTCATCTATCTGCATAACAACATGGAAAGTGTATCTGGAGTCCACATAGATAATATTTACCTACAAAGCTGCTTCCTTAAAGGCCCCAGTAGTGACTTCTGCTCACTTGAGAGGATTCGATAGTGCTCTCCAGGGAGTTCTGCCAGGCGCTCTCTCAGAAAAGCTACCAACAGCCATAGTGTTCAATATAAGTTAGTTTGGGGATATATGTAATTGAATTCCACTCACAGTAAAGTTTTATTTATTTTAGCCTCTACAAAGTATGGGATTGGTCAATGTCCCTTTCTGAAGATCATGGAGTGTTGTCTGTATTTTTTTAGTGAATTTGATGTAGACAGAGGAAAGAGCGCTGGAATTTACCTATGCATGTGAACTGCAAGACTCTGAATTCCTGTTATCTCAGCTGAGCAGAATGCTGTTTTAAAGCACATAATGAGAGCTGTAGATTCTTCAGGTTTTGTGTGTCTTAAATGCCTGACCAGGTAGGCAAGTATCTGAATTTCCTGCTTCTGAGGTAATCCTCAACACTACATTTTAAAGCCCTAAGTAAGCACGCAGTATGTTGTCATGGAAGGACATTGGTCTGTACCAGTTTCTGCAAGGGTCTGTTCCTTAGTTACTTGTGTATTTTGAGATCTTGGACAAGTTGCTGAATTCTGTACTTCTTCCACCCACTATTCTGTGGATTTTACAAGATGTAGTTTGAAAAGTGCTTTGAAATGTTATAGCAGTACAAAGACAATTCATGAGGGAACACGCAAGTGTTGTTGCTGCTGTTTAGAAACACAGCTTTCCTTTGAGGCAGACTTCAGTCCACTGCGTAGTGATTCTTCCTTCTGAGAATCAGAAATGTAGGAACTTTAACAAGCAAGCTGCACATTATGAACTTTTAAGAGCTGCTGGCCACAGGTCCTGCTGTCAATCTGTGACTTACGCTGGGGTCAAGAATAAGGTTTAAATTTTTTCTTGTTTTAGTTCATTTTGATGCGTAGTTTAGTTATTTTTGACAGTTGTTTTAGTTCATTCTGCTATTACTTTTTAACCCTTCGCTGTGATGATCAGTGGATTTCCTAGGAGCACTGATGACAAGATGCTGTTCAAATGTGTGCCCCCCCCTTGATTTCCAGCAATTTAGTGGCTTTTGAGATTATTAAGCTGCTTGTGCTACCACTCCGTCTGGGGAAGTGAAGATCTCCCTCTGCCAGATTTCTCTTTCCCTCCAGTGAATTTAGTGGAATCTCTGAAGCTTCTGCTTTATGCCCCCAGAGACTATAGTGGACTCTGCAGTCCTGTTTGTTTTGCTCCTTCCTCCACAAAGAGTTGTTAACCTTTACCTCAGCCTACCATAAATAATGACATGCAGGTAGATTTATATTTGCTTTTCTTTGGTTCACCCTAGATCACGGAGTTTCTCCCACTCTAATGCTCAGGTTCTTTTGCAATTGCAAAGCACCTGTCTTTGAAATGAGGATGTAAACCAACACAGGTAATAGTTGCCTGATACTGGGAAGCCCTGGAGAGTGCTGAAGTCACCTGATCTGTCTGTGTGAAGCCCATTTTTGTGGGCTTTCCTATGGACTAAGTAGAGAGCTATGAATTCTGCAAGTAATAAGCTGGATAGAAAGCTCCTTGTCATCCTACATAATTACCAACAGTTTACAAGTGGTCTCCCTGGCAGTAGAGATGAGCCCATGTTGTGTAGCTGCTGTTGCTGCATAAGGGCTACCAGGCAGGCAGTGACCTGTGCCTGGGCAGGTGAGATATCGTACTAGTGCACTCTTAAAATTTGGGAGTGTTGTAGAAACTCAAGGCTAGCCCAAGCTGCAGCAGAGCCACACTATGATGACCACAGACTAGAATGCTGTTCTGTATGCCAGAACAGTTTGGCCCTGGATGATTTCAG